AAGTGAAGACAAGCAGAGATATCATTTCCATAAGCAAGTTTTTTTAACCAAATGAGGCATGACCATTCATTGAAAAGAGATCATCTTTGCTACAGAGAATACAGTGTATCTTCCTTTACATAGTCCATAATAGACCTGGTAGGTGTTTGAAACAGAGAAGCTAATTTTGCCTGGAGTTAAACATGTCCTAATTTACTCTCTTTACAAATACAGCTGTGTTATTCAGATAGAAAATGTAGTATTGCTGGATATTAAAATATTAAGTATTATTAATATAATAAAATGTTAAGCTATATTAAGACATTAAGAATAGAGGAAAAACATAGTTTGGACCTTGAAAAGGCTAATTCTGAAGGAACAACCAGACAAATTAAACTTATCTTTAAGATTTGGCAACACATGAAAAGAAATTCTTAATTACATAGTCAAACTTAATTCAGTGTAAGATGTGAGTGGCCCTTCAGTTTAATTTGATGCTTATCTATGCCTTAACCAGCAACAGAATTCCAAACATGGAAGACTGACCTTTTCGCTCCTAACTTCTCACAGAACACTATAACAAGTTGGGGATCTACAGAGAAACAGTAGAGGGGAATAAAAACCAGAGTGGTATAAAATATAGCATTGTCACTGAATGTACAAAATAAATTTCCCAGAAATGTGATAAATTGATAAATTACACCACCGTAATTTGTCCTGAGGGGGGACAAAGGGGTCATACCATCTTACACCAGGCACACCAATCTGAAAACCTGAAAAAACTCTTTAGGAGGAAACCTGTGGTGGTAAGCATTACACAAATCACTGTTTTCATTTCACCAAATATCAAAGCAGAAAAAAAACTTCTAAAGCATTTTGAGTGTTTTTCTGCTTTGTGTATAGTGCTATCCTTTTTCCTTTCACTTTGTTTAAAAGGATTTTCTATGTTAAAGTGATCAACTTTTATAACATCAGTGAGATCAATTTTTATAATGTCAGTGAGTCAATACGCAGGAAATGAGCCAATCAGGAAATTGATGGAATCTTTCTCATAATCATACATCAATATTTAACATATACAAATATCAATTTCAATCTGAACTTGAAAGTAATAAAAGCAGAGTTTGTTGTAACACAGGTAGTGTGTTAGTCAAAAGAAGGACTAAGCATTGCCCTGTGGGGGAAAAAAGCATGTTTAAGATGAGCTAAAGAGTTTTAATGCAAGGATATTGCAGGCCAATGGTACCAGATTTTGTCCAGTCACATCTTTGACTCAGCTAACTAGTCCTTCAAGGCAGTGGTCTCAAAGTGAGATGCAGAAGATAATCCTTTAGGGTACTGGAAAAAAACCCTTCTTGTAGTGCTAATAATTTTTTTAAATGTAACATTTTGTTTATTTCCTGTTTATCTTATACTCTTAAATGTCTATTTTTGTATGTTTAGGAACGTAAATAATATATTAACACAACAGTACACGTATATAATTTATAAATAATGATACCTATATTGTGGGGGTTCTTAGTTTTTTTTTTACTGATGGTGAGTGTGATCAAATCTCTCTGTGCTTCAAGAGACATTCAACATTTCTTTGCAGAAACAGTGGAGGCAGGAATGTCTGCCTCTGTGCATTTTGAATACTCCAGGATGTTCCTTGATGATGTGGGATCCCAATCCTATCAAATTACAATTCTGTAATTTGAACGTTACAGAATTCAAACTATTTTCTTCATCTAGACATTCCACAGATCACAGGCTTCTCTTGGCTGTCCTCCTGTGAGCTGTTATTTTCAAGCACTTCAGAGCTTTTAATTTTATGTACTTTAAGGTCTTTGGAACTGCCTCACTCTCACTGTAAAAATACACTATTCTTAGAGAAGAGTGAAGCCAAAAGCACTGTTCTGCAGTGTTCAATTCAAGTCCTAGGAAAAAAACACACGGCAGTGATGACATCTGAAGAAAAAAATGAAGGCCCTGAGTGGGTCATCATTATTATAATTCACACAATTGAAATGCCTCCTGAACACTGCTAGACTGGGGGCATAGACCACCTCTCCAGGAAGCCTGCTGCAGTACTTGACCTCCCTCTGGGTAAAGAGAGGTTTGCCAAGGTCCAGTCTGAATCTTCCTCCTGATGAGCTGTGTATTAGCTTAAATGTGCTGAACTGATAATCAGGTTGTCTACTGCAGATTCACTTTTCCAACTAGATTTGCCATCAGACATCTGCCAACAATGTAAGAGGTCCCATTCCCAGGTGGGTGGGCATACTGCTAAGAAATGCAATTAAGCTGAGAGACACACAAAAAAAGTTACTCTTTTGTGAATAACTAATTGATAAATTTGCAGCTTCACCATTTTCCAGATATTGGTATTCATGAGATCTGTAAAATGGCTTTTAACTACACTGGAAACTATGTTGTTCACTGCAGTTTTAATATTCAAATGTGTGACACAAAGTTAATACTGAAAATTGTAGAACATGAACCATAGCAGCTGTAAAAAGAAAAATTCCTTCCAAATTTTTCTGATGTCCTATCCCTGTAATTATTTCATGCTTTGCACCAAACCCCCTTAGTGAATGTGCATACAGAAAAGCTTCTCTGTAGGAAATCTAATGTTTAACCTGAAGGCCTTGTTGATCTGTTGATCCTGGCTTAACTGGTTTCCAAATCAGCAACAGCCTATACTGTCAACAAAGTCACACCTCTATTCCTCACCTTACCTTTTTTTTTTTTTTTTTTGGTGGGGGAGGCAGAAATAGATAAGAGACTCAGGTTCTGTCAAGTCCACTGACAAGATACATGAAACATTTTGCTTTGCATGCCTCTGAAATACCATTTTGGAAACCTCAACAAAACCGTACTCAACAAAAGCTTGAAATCATAGACCTTGCTACCTTAAGAACAGCAGCCAGTAGAATAGAAGAGCATCATCAAAAAGAAAGCATAGAATGTTTATTTATAATGGTTTCAATTACACAGCAAATAATCCTAAACCAGATCTCAAAGTGTTTTACAAACAGCAATGCAGTCTGCCTCGGGCAGAATTACAGTCCCAGACTTGCTCTTATCTGCTGATGAAGAATTCAGATTACAGCATACATTCACTGCTTCAAAATGCCAGTAATGGTAGGGGAGCAAAACACTAAGTTTTGGTATTACTTTAACATCATTCTAAAATGGCTGGACCATAAAAAGCAATTGGCCAAAACTCATGTCTCATTACAAACATATTACTGATAAAAGACATTCTGCTGCCAGGTTACCTTTGGTTGGAATAAAAAACCCAATATAAATACCAAATATGATTAAAATAAGTTAATTATGACTGATGTTGACCATTAGGAACCTGCTAGGAATATTTGTTCCCCTCCCTCACCTGACAGACACACTACACTCACAGCAATAAAAACATAAAATTATACCCCAAATATCTAGAGTAGTTCAGACTCCTGACTGCAGTGTCTCACAAACAGATACACAAAAACACTGTCAGGATACAACAGAGGTTATTCCACAATTTGAGCCTTTACACAATAAAGCCATCAAACAAAATCAAACCTGAAAGACCAAGATCTTCAGAACAGTCTTACTGCATACATCTCAGCTAAAATTTAACAGCAGATATGAACATTCAAAATTTCCAGTATCAGTGTAGGTTTAAATAAGTTTACACCTTTCCCCACCTCCCCCAAATAACCAGGGATGCCAAAGCAGTATAACATGAATCATTACGCATATCAGTTAAGTTCAGAGAACAGTTCAAGAACAGGAACCTTACAGTCAGAGGGGAAAAAAACTGTGAAAAACACCTTTTTTTCTTACTCAACTCTGCATTTGGCCTAAATAAAATGCCAATTCCCTATTCCTGAACATTTTAATAAAATCCATTTCAAGCACTGGCAATAAAATGATCTATCATGAGAGAGAGAGCAGCAGAAAAAAACCTCAAAGCTTTGCTTGCAAGCTTGAAATATTTTACTTCGTAGTAAAGACCCTTTTGGATGGTGTCTTCATATATTCTTTTTATCAGGGATTGTTTCAAAGATCTCAGATGGCTGCTGTGTTACTCCCGGGGTCAGACATTAACAAATTAATCCAGATTTAGGGCAAAATAACTTGTTCTATATTTGTTATGAACAGAACATTCAACTGCTGCAGGTGTACCCTATGGCAGTTTCATGGCAACCTATCACTGAGTTTTCCATCTGCCTGGGTCTTCAAACACAGAATTACAGAATGGCTTGGGTTGGGAGGGCTCTTACAGATCATCTGGCTCCAACACCCTGCCATGGGCAGGGACACCTTCCACCACACCAGGCTGCTCAGAGACCCATCCAGCATGGGAATGTCTGTGCAAAAGGAGAGCACCTCCCCACCCTACAGACAGGGCTGAGAGGATAAACTGTAGAATGATCATAAGATACTCCAATATTTATCCTACTAGAAATCACATATGCTATTAATAAAAAATAAACCTTTTACTGTTGTAGCATTTTGTCTTGCATTGAAGAAAGGGTGATAGTGAACTCTTTTGCTAGTTGGAATAGTTTTAGGACTACCAGACAAACTTCTACCATGTCTGAGCCATCACAAATAAATTAAAATCTAGCCAAAGAAAATATTTTTATTTACCCTTCTCGCCTGACTTTTAAAAAATGGTATTCAAAATGTAGCTGGTTTCAATACTTTTAGGGGTAGCCTTAAAACTGGAAGTAATAAAATATAAAGAACATTTTATAAAAACATGTAAAAATTTAAGCAAGTTAGGTAAGCTATTTCAGATTTTAAAAATTTTAAATATTTAATCTCAGAATTATTCTGTTTTACACTACTACAGTTTCCAGGGAACCATTCCCAAATCTAAGAGTTGTCAGATAAAAAAAAAAAGCTAAAATACATAAATTTCTTTAAGAAGTTGACTCATTTCCACAGGATTGGAAACTCTACATATTGTATAGTTATATAACTTAAATATTTAAGTAATGCTGCTGCAGCAATGCTTCTCCATTATGCTAACTTACAACTGGTCTTGCAGTTCCACAATGATATATTCCAGCTGCTCCTTCTCCATTTTATGGGCTAGATCCATATCTTCAATTCTTTGTAACAGGAGTTTATTCTGTGAGACAGATTCAGACAGCTGGTTTTCTCTGAGTCGTACCAATTCTTCAAGATAACCCTGAAAATGTAAGTTATTACAAAACTTTAAAAAACACACTATCAAAACCACTTTTGAGTATGAACGTTCATATTTGTTGGTTTATGATGTATACAATTTTATTTTGAGTCTATTGTAGGTTTAATTATTTATTTTTAAACATACTAGTAAATTGACTTTAGATTAGTTTGAGATTTCCTAGTAGGCAACAGGAAAATAATATATTTCTTTATACACTTGCAGAGGAGTAGAAAAATGAAAAAGAAGACAGGAAAGCCACCAGCATGAAAGACTAATTCATCTTTCAAAAACAACTGTAACATGTACAAGAAAAAGATCAGAATTCTGCAACTGAACAGGTGCAGCATGCTAGATGATACACAAGGGTAAGAGTAGACTATATTTACATGGATCTTTATAGTTAATGAAAGGGATCCAGAATTATTATGAATAAAATATCCAATGTTATTTTAAAGTTTGAGCTTTTGAATCACACAATAAAATGACAAAGAAGGTTCCAGCATGTTAGATGTTAGTAACTTCTTAGAAATTGTCAATTCAAACCAAACACAGTAAGTCTACACTGCAAAAAATTGTGCACATTCCTTGAAATCTGTGGAAAAATGTGCAGCTGTTTTATATGTGCCTACATTTTAAAAAGGTATTAAAAACAAAAGGTATTAAAAAAAACGTTTTCAGAGACACAGAATGAGTGTGTCTGTTCTCACCTCCTGTAGAGTGAAGAAAACAGGCTGGTAACAAATTGCTACTAGTGTAATTCATCACCACAAAGACTGTTAAGCATCTTTGAAGCATCTCTGGTTTGAAGTATCTTTGGTATGAGAAGAAACAGAAGGAGCTGAGATTGCCCAAGTTAGGGCTGAAGAGAAGAGGGTAAGGAAAAAGAATCATATCAGTGCACATCAGTGTTTAATGGGAGGGTGTATGCATGATGGAATCAGACTCTTTTCTGTGATAGCCAGTGAAAAGAGGCAATGGGCACAGTCTGAAATACATGCACGTAGGAAACCATTTAAATACAAGAAAACTTTTCTTTCCTCTTTCCTTTTTTCCCCATTAAACAAGCACTGCGATGGATTGTCTGAACAGGCTGGAGAATCTGTATCCCCAAGATATTCACAGCCTGACTGAAAAAGGCCTTGAGAAACCTGCTCTAGTCTACTTTTTTTCTGAGCAGGGGAGATGGACAAGACAACCTCCAGAGGTGCCATCTGACCACAACTATTCTGTGATCCTATAGTTAAATATAGTTCTATCCATTGGGTATATTTAGATTTGACAGGGACTTTTTAGTCTCAGTACAAATTCCAAGGAATCTTGAGAGCTTTTCAGTATGCCTAGTTCTGCCTCATCAAGTATTACTGTTATCTTGACTCCTAATATATTCCTTGGAGTTCTAAGTTAGCACTTCAAAAGTACTAAATGATGCATTACAACATAAATTTCCTGCCTCTTGAAAACATAGAAAAACCCCAAAACAAAATTTAAAAAAAAATCAAACCATTATATAGAAACATTTTAGACCGGAAGCACCAGCATCAGAAACATAATCCCATGTACAGTAAATACCTCTATCTACAATGTCTTGGAGTAGCTTCCTACCAGTAGAAGCATATAAACTTCCAGTATAAACAGTACTCAAATAATTCAGGAGCTTACTATCCAAAAGTGAACAGCTTAAACCATTCCAGAACAGAGAAAGGATAACTCCCACATAAATAACAAATGTGTAAAGCATGACTCATTGATCTGGACAGGAGACAACTTGGAAAAGACAAAGTTGTCGTATTTCCAGAGTGGCCTGGGCAGGGCAGAAAGGAAGAGACAGTTCCTAACTTTTTAAAATGCAAGAGCTAGGAACCATGAAATCAAGCTCCTGGGAGACAGATTCAAAAGACAGAATAGGAGGTAGTTTTTCACACAACAGATGGTAGATTCACAGAATGCTTTGCCAAAAAAAAAAAAAGTTTGGATGGTGAAATTTTACATGGAATCGAGGGGATATTTGACAAGTATTTGGCAGACATCTATCACAGATTACTACACAGATAAACCTTTTAGCTTCAGGCAGCCCCTCAGATGACATACATTGGCTAAGAGTGCATTAGAAGAAAAGTGGGGCATAATCATGTGCTTTGTGTTTGTTCTTCCCTCCACATCTGCTCTGGTCAAGTATACATGATGGGACAGTAGCATAACCAAGGAGCCTTGGTCTAAACCAGCAGAGTGCAGCTGATCCAATAAAGCAATGTGACGATTTAGCTTGCTAAAGTAACACCTGACCCTATCCTACCACTCAAATGGCTCAGAAGAGAGATCTGTATCTTAGCTGCAATCCAATTGCTTGTCACATTGTGACCTGGTGCTATTAATGGCTGCAGCAGACATTGACTTACTTGGGAGGCACAAAAGGAATTTATCACTGTTTGGGCAAAATGAATTACAACAGAGCAAAAGAAAGATCCATCAGACCTACTGTATCAGCTACTAAAGACATTATTTTCAACTTGATCTTCTTGTTGCGAACACTCAGTTTTCCAACACACAGAATGTCAGAAAGCCCTTTTGTTCATATAAAAAGTCTCTGATTAACTGGTACCTACTGCACTGAATGCAACTCAGTCATTGGTGCAACTTATTGGCATGAAAAAAGGGAAGGGAGAGAAACTTGGAAAAAGAGCTCTATTGCAGAGTCCATCTTAATGGTCATTTGTTCAAGTTGTAATAGAACAGATGCGGCATAGCTGAAGTGAATCATATAAAAACTTGGCAGGCACACCCCAAATGAAAATTAGACAACAGAAAATTTTCTGACTGTAGGAAAAATAAGTTATTTTGCTGCTGCAATTGCAAGTAGGCATTCCAAAGGACGACAACTAGGAAAGTGTCAACGGCTGTCAGAGTAGCTACCATTTTGAAAATTGTTTAAATGCACCAAAATTTGCAAAGATTGATCCTACAAATGAATTAAATTCACCCCTATATTAGTAACCTATAGAAGTTAGCAATTCATTAAGAGAATGTTACCAGAAATAACTTCCATGGAATGGGAATTGTTCTAGATCTTGGACTCATGAATAAACCAAAATTACTATTTGTTGTTACAGCCACTGACAATCTTTGTGCTTATACAGACAAAGGTTCCTAGTGATTCTGACTGTGGATGTGGGTCACATGTTTCTACACATGGATGTCACAAATTTGATGGAGTATCTTTGGAAATGAACCACCTGGATATATCAAGAAAAAGAAACATCCACTCTTTTGTTCTCTTCAATGCTTCTCCAGACTGACAACACTCTCCTCACGGTGGGGAAAAGTGTACACTCAAGCTGATCCTGTATTTTTGTCTGGCAAGGATAGGAATTTCTTCTGGAGGTTCAAGAGAAAGGTTTTCATTTATGTATTTGAAGAGATTCCTTTTGAACAGCATACTTGCTTTATATAAGCAGGGAAAATGCCCTCTGTTACCAGAGAGGACCCCAGGAACACAAGTTCCTTCCATAAGGAAAGTGACACCATACCAGCTGAGAAGATTGGACCAGAAACCTGGAGGCAATAGTTCAGGTCATATTTCAAAAACAAACTCTAAGTGACCCAAAACACAAAAGCAATAATTGTATGCATCATTTTTTAAAAGAATATAAATATATATTATTCCATAGTAAAACTGAATCTTTCACTGATACTTAGAAAAAGTCTAGCTTCTTTCAAGTGCATTGAAATAAACCAATTTTGATTCTACCTATTCCATATTGAGGGAAATAATTACACCTCCAAGCACCCTTGCATGGCTCCAGCCCTTTATATGGTTGACTCTATTCAGAGTTTCACAAAAATCAAATTCTTATGCTAGGAAAACAGAACAATAAAAACACTAATAGAAGTTATTTTTTAAAATGTAACCAGTATATTTAATTTTTTTTCCTGTAGTTTTTCCTGACCCCTCCTTTCTTTCTTTGTGCACTACTTCTTTGTTGTGTACGAAGAGTCGGCCCTCTTCTCTCCCTACTAGCTAATATGCATTGTAATTACTGTGGATGTAATAATGCTGTTATGAAAAACTGATAAGTACTTTGCTTTAAAATACTAAATTATTAAAAGGTTTGGATATATATTTATTTCACTTCACCTTTAACTTAAGGTATGTTGGGTGGTAGATGGAAAACCCACCTTTGGTTTCTGTAGTTACATTCAATATGCCACCTAAATTAAAATCCAACACAAACACATCCTTTCACGTTTTCCTTTCCCACTTTGCTTCAATCAAGTTGTAAAACTACCTATATTCTAAAAACCCATCCCCGTATCACTGAGAAGACAGTTTTACCTTCCATCTAAATGGATTACTTTGCTGATCCTTTTTGTTTAGATTAAGACTAAGTGTTAAACATCACTACCATCATAAAAGCCTTCAACTGTCAGTCTACCTACAATAAAAATCTGTGAACTCTAAGGAAGAGAAAATTCATGTGAACTTCAAGCTCACAACCTAACAGCATTAGAGATAGTGTCTGTAACTCCAAGACTGGATAAAGAAGCCAAAGCTTCGACATCAGATTGTGAAATCTGATCCCTGAATTATTGCTATTCTCTTCCCCAACTCATCAAGCCTCTTTTCTCTCAAATCAGTGAGCAAAGATGCTTGGGATACTCTGAGTATCATAAAATATAGGACCACTTACATGAAGCTAAACAACATCTAATAATATATTTTCCTGCCTTTACTTAGATGGATATGTCACCAGTTGGCTGGTGATGAGCTTTGGTTCCACAGCCCCCACATAAAACTAATCTTTTACCTTCTGTTCCAATGCAAGCCGGTACTTCTGTTCTACCCTTTTGCATTTGTTGTACCAACTGTTTTCATCTGTGATGAAAGGAGGACCAATGTTCTCTGGAGTACTGCCTTCACTGCCACTACTGCCCAGCGTTCTCAGCTCTTCTTCATCACTGCTGATACTGTCAGAACTGAAGAATCATATTTATTAGTCAAGTCAAAAGCTGCACTTATAAAAATGCAAATTCTGGTTGAAGTTGAAACATTGTATTTCTTAAAAAGCTCTTCAAACAAAAAAACCAATATGGAAACGTTGGGATATGATGGATTACTAAACACAATTTGTATTTCAAGCTTTTGTTTCTATAGCCACCTAAAAAATAGACAACATTTGCTTGTGATCTTTGCCAAGTTAGACAACTGTATGTGGGCTACTTTCCTTAGTACAAAGGGTAAATGCATTACAATATAGATTTTGTTTCTTAAAAAAAAGAAAAAAAAAAGCAGAAACCCAAAAAAGTGGTTGTCATTATGTTAAATCAAGATAAATCAGAATGTATATCTATGTTTATAGCAAAGATCTTGTGCCTGTTACTTCACAGAATATATTTCCCTACACAGTAAGTACACTCATTGTTAAAATATCTTCATATCTTCCAGAATCAGTGCATGCTAGAGAATGCAGACATCTGTCTCAAAGAATTTATTTTAGTCAAGAGAAGACAGAGGGGATATCATCAATGCATATAAATATCTCAAAGGCAGGTGTCAAGAGGATGCTGCCAAGCTCTTCTCAGTGGTGCGCAGTGACAGGAAGAAGAGCAATGGCAATAAACTAAAACACAAGAAGTTCCACCTCAACATGAAGCAGAACTCCTTTACATGGAGGGTGGCAGAGCACTGGCGCAGGCTGTCCAGGGAAGTTGTGGAGTGTCCCTTGCTGCTCCAGGTGTCACGTGCTACTGTGTCACCTGTCTTGGCAGGGGTTTGGACTGGGTGATTTCCAAAGGTGCCTTCCAACACTAACAATTCTGTGATTCTGATTTATCCCAGTACCCATTTGAAAACCTTCCCTTACAACTATATCTCCCCCTACACTAACAGAATTTACTAGGTTTTTTTAAGTAGTCATTTCCATAACCCCATGATCCTGCCATGATACAAACTGAATCATAGTTTGTCACTAAAGCTAGTTGAAAACTTCAAGAGAGTAACGAGATGTTTCATGTTCAGTTGTACCTCTTCAAGACTATTCCTAACTGCTTCTCTCCTTTTGGTAAACCTAATAACAGAAAATTAATTTCCATGCTTTTTGGTGATGCCAAATTGCTACTTGATTTATTAGACAGTAAGAATTATTTTAATTATTAATCATAAGGCTGATCAGAGAAGCAAAAAATCAGTTGATGTAGCCTGGTCACGACTCTGTGATGTGCTAATGGCTTATATTGCCTATGTCATATCTTATATTTATCAGGGTATATATTATTTTTATTTACAAAATAACTATTTTGTTTTATGGCTACACAGAAAAGGCCTAAGAGAGAAGATAGCTTGGTCTGGTGATCATCAAAGGAGATGCAGTATTCATTTTCCACTGAACTGTTATTCTGAATCAAGGAAACACAATTAGCATGACTCATGTTTCATGAATCATGTAACAATTCCACCAGTCTGAAAGAGTGAGGTAGCTGAGTGTACAGGTTTGCACTTAGAGATAAATATCATTTTGCATATGAAATGAAAAATAAGAGGCCAAATAAAAAGTAAAATCTTGCCAATGAAATAAAACTTTAAAAAGCAGAGTAAAGCCAAAAAGTACCTTTGGGTGAACTTCAAGTACGGTGTATAATCTATGACAGCTGGATAGCTTCCATCCAATCCCTCACCCTTCAGACAAAAACTGATAAAACATCAACAACAACAAGTTTATTACAAGAAATATAAATTATAGAGACAGTTGAATATTACCAACCTGAAACTTCATTTTTTGTAATTTTTTGGTGCTATAAACCCTAATTTTTAAACACTCGCTTTTATTCTTAATAAAACAGAGATGGCAAGAGAATAACCAGAAAGCTAACTGACACAGCAGAAACAGAAGAATTATGGACAAGCTTGGAATTTTCCACATTTAACATAATTTAAAGGGTTTGCAGAATACTTATATAACCATTTTACTAAGTAAAAAGTAATTTTCTCAAAAATATTTCAGGGTCTTTCTCCTTTCAGACACTTAAAGGTGCTGAGGTGCATGAAGCTGAGGAACACAAATGAACCTAACTTTTGGAAAATTTTCTTAAATGGCTGTAGCTTTACAAAGCTTTCATTTACACTGTATCCTTTCTTTTACTGAAAATAAATTATTGCATTTCAACTATGTTTAATGATCAAAGGAGTGACAAAATGATCACGCTTCTACAAGGCTCATATTCCTCATTCCTATCTCTGTTATTGATAAACAGATTCTAATAAGTCACAGCTTCTGCTAACTGAATTGCAAAGTACCTTTTTTGACAATGCAGTAATTTAAGTGCTATTTGGGAAGTACATCTAAAGGGTTGTTGGTTTTTTCCCCAAAATAAAAAGAAAAAGAAAGTGAAAAGCAGCCCTCCAAGAGCACAATTATCTAATTCCTTATTGCTGTGAGGGAAGAAAAAAAAAATCAGATTATGTTCTCACACAAGCTCGCTCATCTCCAGCCCAAACTTGTATTTACAGCTCCACATAGATAAGCTAGTCAACATTTATAAGAGATACTGAACTGAAAAAAACAATCTCATGTATAACATGCAAGGAGTGGATACAGCTCCTCAGCCATTCAAATCACAATACTGCGAAGGCTCTGCTCAGTGGTTCCAAGCAACAGGACAAGAGTCAAGGGGCAGAAACTGATGCACAGAAAATTGCAACTGAATATAAGGAAGAACTTTTTTACTGTGCAGCTGACCGCACACTGGAGCAGATCGTCCAGAGAGGTTGTGAAATCCCCCACTGGAGATATTCAAGAACCATCTGGACACAATCCTGTGCCATGTGCTCTAGGATAACCCTGCCTGAGCAGAAAGGTTGGATCAGACAACCCTCTGTGGTCCCTCCCAACCTGAAACATTCTCTGATATGTGGCACAATAAAAACACCCCTGTAGTACTAAGCTCCCTTTTAGCACAGAAAATTCTTAGACTCTTAAAAGCTGCATTGACAAAATGTAAATGTATTTAAGAGCCAATCAGCAGTCTGAATACCATTAACAGGTTCCTTTATATTAGAAATCAGAGGACAAAGAAAGAACAAGTAGTCATGCAACTAAGCTCTCATACCCTAGTATGTACCACGGAGGCTTTTGAGAGACAAACACAGTCACTTGATGATTATTTATGAGAGGATTTACATAATGCAGACCTAATCTTGCAATGCTTATTCACGTATAGCTGTCCTTCCAAGTACAGGGCTAATACAGAAGCAGTTTAAATTCAGATTATGTAAAGCTTAAACTAATAAAATCTAGTAAGATTTGAATTTTGCTGTACACAAGGCTAGCACTCTTATCATCCTGCAGCACACTTCTGCTCTTCCAGAACATATGTTGAGGATATAGTTAAGCCAATCTAATGACACAATGCTGGAAAAAGAAGCTATCCTGTGTTTTCAACCTCTCCCTCCCTATTTTTTCAATTTTTTTTTTTAATGCAAACATAACATTTCCCTCCTTACACTGGTATTGGCTCTGACTCCATGACAGTTCAGTAGCCATCAAGATCTGCATTTTTACATTGATTCCTTTTTTTTCCTTTTCCCCACCCAGCTGCAGTTCCATAGCCAGATGAACTAAATGTTCTTTACCACCAGAAAGGGAAAACACTGCTCGTTCCTTATTTGCTCCTTTTCTTCTCTAAGCATTCTTCTCTCATAATCTCTGACACTAATAGGAGGCTCCGGTGAACCAAACTAGCTAACTGAAAAAGAACTATCCAGTCCTCTTACTGGGGATGTTTTTTCATTCTTCAACAATTTAGCTGGCTCATAGAAGGGTCCAACAAGCCTGGCACAGAGCTACATAAACAGCAGTAAATCTCTAAAGGGCCTTTTGGCAATGGTCAATCACTCAACACATCCATTCTGTTTTCTAGCAGTTTGCCTCCTATATTGGTTTGTGACAAGCATTAATGCCACTGCAAGGTAAATACTAACAGTGAACTGACAGAAGAATGAAGAACAGCAATATCAGTCTCTTTTTCGTTGTGCTGGATTATGAAACTCTCTGCCAGTGGGTCTGCCTGGGCCAAACTGGCCCAACCAGGCATATTAACAAGGTCTTGCACCAGCCAGGTTCTATCTTTTTACAGGCACTGTAATCTTTATATATTGCTGATGGGTTTTTTTAATATATGTACATATATAGATACACATGCCGTGCTGGTTTTTTTATTATCTAGGGTGTGCTTGCACCATTGTTACCTCAAAACCACAGAATTAACCATATAGGAAAGCCCACAAAAGCCTGGCTAGAAATTGCAAAGGTCAATTAATGTAAGCAGTTCAGCTGCAGGTAATTTTGACACAAATTGATATTAAATGGTCATTTGTATTTTATGTTTTTCAAATTTAGAAGTGTTAAAGATTACCTTCTACATATGCAGTTACAGTTCTATCCTCAAGTACCAGGACATAACCAAGTATGATACAGTTTTTCTTACAGTTTAAAAGTAAATTTAAAAGATGTCATGTCTATAAGCTTCATTTAATAGGTTTAAAATACCTTCTGCAATTATACTTCTTTCCTTTTAGAATTTTGATACCTGAAAAAACTACCCCATAATCATGCAGTTACATAAAAGCATAACTTGGTTCTTATCTAGAAGAGCCATTCAAGATCTCTCCCTTGCCCTTCTTCTTTACCTCAACCTAAGATTTGTCTCTCAAACTACCACAGGAATTTAAGAATGTTTTCCATAATACATTGATTTGTAAGTACTTTTCCTGAGCATTTTTTTGTAAAGCACACAAATACAGTACCTGAAATCAATTGCATTGAGTCCCAACAGCATACCAGCAAGCATATTTGCTTCTTCACCAAGAACAATTGCTCCATCTTCATAAAACCTCCTTCAGCAAAAAAGAAATTAATTCAGCTGTTTTTCATATTTAGCAGAAAACTGAAGAAATCCAGTTTAAACTAAAACAATTCATGAACCCCAGAAGCATTCATATTTAATTTCAAATAAAGTAAACTAATAGATGACATAGCACAAAACAGCACAATCTTAAAACACGGAAGAATTTAGACATAAGCAAAAAGAATTTTCAACATTAGTCCTATGAACTAGTAGAACAGGATGGATAAAATATAAAAAAATTATAAAGGCATGTTATACTCTACCTCTAAAAGGAAGAATTTGTGTCATCTACATAAAGAAATAATGATCCCATCACATGTAGGATGGATAAAATACAAAGAATAATTATAAAGGCATGTTATACTTTACCTCTAAAAGGAAGAATTTGTGTCATCTACATAAAGAAATAATGATCCCATCACATGAAAAGATGTTCTCTTTCACAACTGTACTTGCAGGTGCTTTTAAAGTTCAACATTCAATTTCCATTCCTAGGGGTTGATCTTTTTTAAAAAAATATTTGCACCAATCAGCTATTTTTCATGTAGTTTACCTTTTCTTAAAATATTGCATGCTGGGAAGATGCATGCTGGAAGGTCATCAGAATTCACCTGAGAATTACATGTGGTAAGAGGGAAACCAAGAAGTGCTCAGTACCAAAGGCAAGATTGAAATGTCACTTAGAAAGAACTGTAATGCACAGTTCACCTTGAAGGTGCCAGATTACTGACTACAACCAGACAAATACCAGCAATGCTGCCCTACCAAAACTCCATCTGTTTTAAGAATTGCATGAAACCTTCTGGATAATTCAGAGAGAGCTCCAGTTGGCTGCATGGTGAACATCCAGAAAAAACATGTTTTGAGGCACAGCTCCAGAAACTGAACTGTGTTATAATGCATGCTGTGAGAAGTCCCACTTTTGCAGCTTTGTAACAGACATCCATTCACTACACAGAGATGAGTCGTCCAAGATCTCAGATGTTCTCAGTAGAAGGAATAAATCTGTAAGACTTCCTCTCATATAGTGCTGATAGTGAGGCTAGGAAGTAGAAACTCAGCTCTGTATGCCCTGACTTCAGGAAGGGCACTAGGAGGCTAAGCTGGCTGAGCCAGAACACTGAGCTAGAGGGACTCCAGTCTGATTCAGCACAGTGACTCTTACTTGTGAACAAACAGCATTGCCCACCGTACATGCAGATTACCAGCCATTTCACTGGCATTTGTAAAATCACTGCCAGGTACCAATCTGCACTAAGTTCTTGAAAAATAGTGCCTAGGAAGAAATCACACAAAAAGGACAAGGCACACCTTCAATGGTGAGATGCAGAAGTTAGCCTGGCAGTGCCAGGGTTAAATACAGCTGCAGTAATATAGCCAAACCAATAGTCCCCTTGGAAAATTCACAAATCTTCATTCAGCTATACACTTGACATCTCACAACACGCAACAGTCTGCTATATTTTGAGTCTGACCAATTAGTTAGAAAAAGAATTCTGTGCCTATGCTTAACACAACCCCTCTTGAAGTGTAATATGCACATGCAGCACTAAGAATGTGCTGCTTCATTCAAGTACTACCTCCAGGCAGCTAAACACAACAGTGAGGTTTAAAAAGAGCTATCAGAATAATAGATAATCTTGTATTCTACATACATGTGCAACACAAGAAACTTATAGTTTATACCAATAATTATTAAAGATGTATATAGTAAAATATATGATTTAAAATGCTAAATAAATTATGCAAAGCATCACCCAAAAATCAGGTTAGTTATTAGGTGTCTGAAATCCCACACGGGAAAAGAAAATATGTCCATTGTTGCTAGTGGCTTTGAAATCCATACAACTAAAATCTGAAAAAGTATTTTTTATTTCCATTAGATGTATTTTAAAACATTACTTCAAAAGAAACTTTGCACTTACTATCTTTGGAATGCAAGAGAAGTTGTTTCAAAAAGATATACCACTGAAAGAACATTCAAATATATTAAACATTAACATGTTCAAATAAATGAAATTGAAACTGCTAATCAAATAGGACCACTGTTATCCACTAACAAACTACGCTATCAAAACAGGGACAAAGAATGTACTACTTAACTACATAATTTGTGACCCTACTCTTCCTCATCTCCTCCTTAGTAACCCATGTGACTTTTCAGTTTGACGCAGCATTAGTAAATCTTTTCCAGATTTTCTTTGTTTTTTATGCTTCTTGTCTACTATAAATTCAAGCAAATCTGCGTAAAATAAGAGAACAGGTCTTGAAACTGCAATGAAATGGGCTGTTTACCTAGTTGTGTTTCAAAGTCATCTTAATACTGGTAAACTATATGGAAATCTCTGGACAAATATTGTTAAACAAATAATATGCTAAACGAACAGAAGTCCTTACAGAGAAAATTCTTGTTTTAATACTCTATTCATTATGTCTAAACTTTAAGAGTTCAACACAAAGTACATGTTACAGATCTACCTGTATTCAGATGACTTCATTAAAAATCTGTAAAACATACTCATTACAAGATAAAATTGCATCTAATAATCACATTATCTAAAACCAGTCCAAAACTGCTAGAGAATTCTCTACCACAAAGAATATTCTCATCCCCGATTTTATCATCAAAGTTAAAACAAAAATCTGTTACACATTTTTCTTATTTTATCAAGAATCCTAGCTATGCCTGATCACTAATTCTGCTGCTCTACAGTTCTCAAGAGGTTCCTGGAATTCTTTTCCTTTTTTCTTCAGAAGAAGTTCTATAAAAATTATTTTACACTGAGTCCTTAGGCTTTCTATCAATTTTGAAAGGAATACTACATCTATCCCTACTACACCAAAATTTCAGCTTTAGTTCCTATTTCAGAGAGGTTTTTTTTTGCTTCTGACTTTTCAAGAATTCCAGGCTTATTCCAACATTTTTTAAATCCCAATAAGATTTTCAATTTTGCAGTTTTACCCAAGCTAAAACCAAATCCATACCAGCTCTAGATACCTCTCACTAGGTTACAGGTCTTTCATTAATGACATCCTTTACTACACAAATCAAGTGCGCCATTCACTTCCGAATATAAGTCACTCACTTAAACAATATTTACTAAAATATTGCAAAAAAAGAATTATTGTAGACCTTGTTGTTTTGAAGTCTCTCAGAGCTGTGGAAATGTATTCAGACAAATGTTTTTCCATAAGTGCTACTCTTATCCATGCTCGACCCTGTAAGACAAAACAGATATCAAATATTTAAGTATTACAGAAAGAAACAGTTTTACCATCTGAAACCATTGATTTACCTGAATAAATGACTGATAAAACTAGCAGTAAACAGAAACAGTTGCTAGGACATACTTCATTACAGCAGTAATAAAAGGACACAAAGTTTACTGTGCAAGTTATTCAAGTTTTAAGGAGAGGGTGGAGGTTTTTTCTTTAATTATATGCTCCAGCCTTTTGAAAAGCTCATGTATGTGAGAGGCAGCAGATCAGGGCAGAAAGCTTAACATTTTAAAATCAATGGTACTGAAAGCATCCAATTGTTTCCACAGTAAAGTGGCAGAAACTTGTCCTCAAAGTGATTCTCTGTGTTAATTCAAATATTTGAGGGATTTACATAAAAAAATTAATTGTACAATATTTTTTCTCCTCAGTAACAACATTATTATAGAATGTGCATATAAAATACAGATATGAAATCAAATCCAAGAGACCTAAATCTTTTAGAGTCCAAAAGCAAAACTTCACTCAAACAGTTCCATAAACAACAGCAATACCTTTAAAAAAATAACCCTTAGGAAAGCACATTGTGCTGTGTTTGTAGGTCTAGTGCACAGGATTGAGGCTTACAAGAGGAAGACATTTCAATGGCTGCCACAGTTATGAGTATGTTCCTGAGAACACCAGGAACAATTCTTGTAAACCATATAAACTTACAAATACTTAGGTAAGTAGTAAGATGTCTTTATGCTTAATATCTTTGGTGCTTATTGGCATCTAGCTGAATATCAGACATTCTACCAGAACCAGCAATAGATTATAATCCTACTTCAGGGTGACCTAACTGTGGCCTTCTAGAGAGCCTACAAGAAAGATGCAGAGAGACTTTTTACAAGAGCATGTAGTGACAGGACAAGGGGGAGTAGCTTCAAGCTAAAAGATGTCTCTGCCCACAGCAGGGGGATTGGAGCTAGACAGTCTTCAAAATCTCTTCCAACGCAAATTATTCCACGAGTCTATGAAATGCTAAATAAAATGGCTTTTATAAATACAAATAGCATAGCAAAAAATTTAACATAGAAACTAAATTAGATCCCACTGAAATTAGGATATTTACCTGGATAGCTGCCTTTTTGTTGCATTTATTTAGAACGTGACTGAAACCATGAAAATGATGATGCTGCTTTGCTAAGGACTAAAGCCTATGCACCTCCAGTGAAAGCAGAGCCAACTAGCACAGGCAAACCCATGCTGACAGCTTCAGGCTCAGGACGACACTTATCTGGACCACCAGTCATACTGGTGCACATGATGGGTATTTGTGTCAACATGCTTGCTGTCTTTTCATATCCAGACATTCAAAATACTCCCCTAAAAAACTGAACACTGTTCTTCACGCTCACTGCACAAATCAGGTTCTCTGTCTACTGTTTGGCATGAAGTATTCCACAGAGTAATAGTAAGGTTTTATTTATTTATAAGAATATTTCATAAAATAGCCTTGCATCATCTTATCTGCTGTATTTAAATATTCATATCTATTAAAATCTCAGAATTCAGAAAGATCTATAAAACAAATCTTAAGAGCTCATCACGCCTATTCTATCAGTGCATAAATTCTACATGAAGTAAAATGACTAGAAGGGAAAAGAAAAAAATCACCCAATTTCTACAATTTTAACATTTCTTAGGCATGTACACAAGAATTTAATTTCCCTTCAAAAACTGTTTTTTCGAAAAATTATGTAAAGTAAAAAATCTGAGGACAATCCTTTTATAATATAACCCAATCACTGAATTGAGAATTTTTATACTGAGTAAGAAATCTTAAATGAAACACATTTCAATTTAAAAGTGGGGCTTTTTAAAAGCAAATATTTACTAGGCACATAAAAAATATTTTGAACAATTAAAAAATGTGTAGAGCAAGCTAAGTACTGTGGGTTTTTTACAGGTAGAGAAATGTCACAGCAATGTAGTAAAAAGTCACTTTAGCCTTTCTCTTCCCTACCTTAGCTCTAGAAGAACCGACGTTCTCCATGTTCTCAATACTGCAGATGCAATTGTGAGAGACTTTTCGGCAAGCTACGCGAATGTAGTCCCAGAAACTACGAGGGCTTTCATAGCCGAACCAGGTGATCTGACCTTAAACCAAAACACAAGACACAGAAAGATTTATGGACCTCCCTCTCTGCTTATTGGAGATAAACATAATTAAATACTCCCCAATACGCTGCCTTTACTGTAAGGATTTTATACAAACAATGTATAAATGAATCCCTACTGAAAACTGACCCACAGATGTAAAAAAAGTTGCATTATGCAGTTCATCTTGGTTTGAAAGTGATGCACAAAGAGAAGTTTAGGGTGGGCTTTGTGTATATATGTGTATTTTCTTGGGCTTTTTCTTGTTATTATGCTAAAATAATACCCAAGAGTCCTTCACAGAACCCTTCAATCACAACAGAGCACAAACTTATGACTTAAAAATATGACACAAGAAGTATTTGTGTTATTTCTATAGGCAGCATATACATTTCACTAATACAGTCAAGTAAAGAGATTTTTCTTTTTAAAATTATAGAAATAAATATAAAACACCATTTTGCTGTGATCATGCTATCTTTATTTTAGGAACAGATTATATTTTTTCAAAAAGTAGTTTCATTTGAAGAGAAGCCAATGCATAAGCAAAAAAGTTTTGCAATCACAATTTCTTTTGAGTGTAGACAGAACATTCCCTCAGAAGCTGAGAGAAAATAATTGAGTAGATAATTACCACTTCTGGAACTACAACCAAAATCCTTCACATTTTTTCCAGTTTGCAATGTATTGCACTTAGAAAATGAAAGGCAAAACTACAAAGCACTTGCAACATTTCCATATAATTTTCATCAGCAGCACAACAGCTCAACCCCGTTTTTCAGAGTGAACAGCACACTGCTCTCACTTTGGACATACCTGCAAACAGGTATGGAACACATAAGGTTAATATTGCCCTCTGGTGACTCCCAGCAGTGGTATGTTCAAAACCCTTTCTTCATACAAAATGAGTTCTTTTTAAGCTGATTTTATCTTATTTCAAGTCTTGAATTGCAGTTATGAAGCTTTACTAATGTATGAGAAAGACTTCTACACTTTTTCTGTAAAAAGCTCAGATTTCAAGAAAGAATATATGAGTGATACTGTAAATCATACATACTGAAAATAAAATTCAAAATATGTGGTTTTATCTGACATGACTAGACTTAGCTTCAAGCATAGCCAAAGTAGTGTCAAAGGTCTGTCACCTATGAGCTGAAGAAATTCAAGTGGCAGGTTCTTCTTGCCCTAGAGGGTGCATGTCACTTGACTTTGTGGTCCATCTGCTTCCTTCACCAAAGATACATTTATTAAATTCAAAGCATGATAAAAGACTTTAAAAAACACACAGAAAAGAAAAAAAGGCACAAGCAGGAAGAATTCATATATAATATCCAATATAACAAAGAAAAAACTAGAATTCCAAGGTGTCACAGTTACTGTAGTTTTAGATCTGCTCAGCTCTAAGGACTAAAATAAAGAAATTCCACATGATAAGTGCTTTTACAAACTTATTATTTTTGTTGAAATGCAAAGTTTAGTGGACAGCAACAAAAATTCAACAGCATTTTAACAACACAAAAAGCTACAGATATTTTTCATATTCTTCACCAAATCAAAAACATTTCTGCCCTAGCAATTGTACCTACAAAATTAAATGCAGCTATGGTGTAAAGACGACTTCATATCATCAGTTCCAGTTCTAACTCCTAAAGGCAAGCATATGATATAGTAACTTTTGTGGTTTTTTTCAAACTATCCTAAGGGCAGAATATATTTAGCAAAAACCAGTTTCACTCCAGTTTTCTGAAGCTCCTAATGCATAGCAATTCCTTTTACAATTGAACACCTGAAAAAGACATGGTCATTTAAAACAATAAGTAACTTTACAACAGAAATCCATACCAGCACACAGCACTGACTTGGCTTACACTGATCAAGAAATCCAGCTGGCCATAATTCAACATACTCTAACATCACAGTGGGCTCCCATCTCACTCCAGCTCTGTGAGAGGGTGCAATGGGCTTCAGACTTCAGCATTATCTTCCCTTGAAACTCGGAGCCAACTCAGCACCTTTTGTGACTCAAGGTCTCCTACATTTCACTATTCTGTTCCTACACATTTAAACGTTGCCCTCATTCTCATAACTAATATAATCTGAAAAAAACTTTCTCAATCTATCTGTACACAAAAAAATGCTGGAAAAGACTGACTGAGAATAGTGAGAATGTATTTTAAGAAATACCAAATAAGATTTTAAACTATAGATTTACTAAAATTTTAAAATCTTTCAGCATTTGAAATTTATTTGGCCCGTAAACCACCCAATGCACACAGCTGTGAAAAGTCTCAAGAAGGAGAAATTAAATAGCTCCCACTACTCAGCACCTGTCAGGCTTTGCCTGCAGTACTGTGTCCATTTCTGGTCTCTACAATTCAAGGGCAGGATCAGATTGGAGAGGATCCAAAGGAAGGTCAGAAAGATGTTCAAAGGGTTGTTAAACCTGTCCCATGAGGAAATACTGAAGGTATTAGGTTTTTTCTCTCTAGGGAGGAGAAGGCTCAATGGGAGAACTCATTATAGTTTTCCAGTACTTAAAGAGGGTGAAGGCTCCCTCCTTCCAAGGAGCCACACAGAAGACAAAAGGCAACACATACAAGTTGCACTGGGAGAGGCTGCATCCCAAGAAAGAAATTTTTTTTCGAACAGGAACCAAAATTCACTGTGACAACATCCCCAGTTATGTGGTAGAGTTTCCGTCACAGGATGTTTTCAAGATATGATTGGAGAGGGTGCCAGATATTCTCATCTAAACTCCCATCCCCAAACAATTGGGTCAAATGATTCCTCAAGGACCCTTCCAAATTCTGTTGGGCTGTTCTATGGTTTCAAAATCATAGCTAAATTTTAAAAGATCTTAATAAAATTGAAAGCTAGTTTTAGTATAGAACTTACATTCTGTCAAAGTATGTCATAAGGAAAGAGGAAGCTTCTCAGCAGGTGCACAGGAAAATGAGCATGTGGTCTTTGCTGTAAAGTTCATATGTCATCAGAAGATGTAGAAGCTGACAGCTATTCCAACAGAAATTATGTTGGTTTTGTCAGCCAAACAAAATTGTTAGGTAAACACAGAAGCTGCATGTGTAATAGTAAACATTGTTCAAATAAATTCCATTCCTGTCTACAGAACTGCAAAGCAAATAGAAACAAATTGTGATTTTCTTTTCTTTTGCTTTCACCACATTTTTGCAAACTGCTGCACACCTACTTGTATCAACCCATTTCTGTTCTGACAACTAGATACAAACATCCACAGTTATCACAGACCCTTTTCATGCCCAATAAATTCTTCACAAATAAGATTGAACAGTCTGATCGCTGATCAACTACAGTCCAATTTAATTTCCAAAGTTTCACAGTTGCAAAGAAGAAATGACTATGATGTTGCAAGGTAAAGACAGATTGTCTCCAGATTCCCCTATGTTATTTAGTTTGCTGGAATTTTTTCTATCCAATAAAAAGTAAGTTTTAGTACAACTTCTTGCTAACAAACTGGCGTGATCTTTGAGGAATTTCTGAGATACCTATCCTTACTTTGAGCCTACAAAATGGGTCATTAAATACTTAGAGTATTCAGAGACCCATAAACTCAGTCCTCCAAGACAATTATAAGTTCATTTACAAATTTTCTCCATACAAGAAGAATGAACTAAGCCACAAATTACACAAGAGCTCTCCTGTTTCTTCTTAGTCAAAAAGGATAATTCAGTATGTGTGTATAGATACTAAATCTAGTAACAAAAGCTATTCTGCTAACATTATTGCACCAAATAAAGGGCTATCACAGCTATATGTTTGTCTTCTTCATGACAGTAGTGCCTTTAGTTTTTATACCCTCAACCTTTTCCACTGCCATTATATCACCATTACCTTAATAATTTAATCCAGCAGACTTGTTTCTCTCAGAACAAAGAGCATTGCAAGCTGCATTTTACTGACTCAAAGAACTCCTGAAATTTAGGAGTTACATAGATTGGATAGATAAAATCAGCTTCCATGGACTACCCAAGCAGAAGCTTTTGGTATGTTTATAGTGCCTCCTAAACATACAGGAAAATAGGCACACGAAGTTGTGAACGTGTCAAAATAGCACAGTACAGCATAATTTTTGTGTCCTCATGGTGGCAAATGCAAGTAAGCATACAGATGACAAGTGTGCTCACAGTAACCACGATATGCAAAAATTACACAAGTCACAAGCAAAATGCACTAGATACATTTACACACTGACACATTACACTATTTTCTAAACACACATACTGGCTAGGAGTTTGGATATCAAACATTTTTGCTGCACAAATTATATTATGGCCATAGAAATCTACAGTAGTTATTCACATTTTTCATTAAGTGAGTAGTAACTCACCTAATACTAACTTAAAAGTGATAAGAAAAGGCAGAAAATAATACAGTCTAGTTATATAGTAAAGACAAAATACACATCATTTTGAAATTACTTCAGGTTTTAAATCATTGGATATATCTCAGATCAAATCCCAAGTACTGCTGCTGAACACTTTTGATGTCCTACCATTTCTGCACTATGTGTATATACTTGGCTGATCTGATAAAAAAGACACTTACAGGAAAAATACCTGAAAAATCTGTGTCCAGAAATGAAAACAAGAAACCACACAGAACACTACAAGATACTTCATCTTCATCTCCACAGTACAGAATGGTCAAGAATGGAAAAAATTCCAAACAATGGTATGAAAAAAAATGGCTCCTGAAATTATTCACCTTGCTTTAAAGGCTATCAAATACATGTACATTTGTACACAAATTTGTAAAATCTCTTTCAGGACTAGAGGTCTTATTTGGACCTTCAAATACATTGTCCCTGTATGCCTCCCAGAGTAACACTTAATCTCTGCTGTAAAGCGATGCAAAAGCTTATTCCTAAGAAGAAATAAAAGAGTAATTAGTCACTCATCTTTTTTTCTGTTATTTCTTCTCTCCTCCCTTTTCAAGATTTTCAGCTGCCCTGTCCAGTAGTATCACATCTTGCCAGGAGGGATGCTGCACAGTTTACTTCAATGACAAGAAGAACACATGCCTTACAACCTCCTCATTACAAACTTTAGTCAACTCCACGTCCTCAATACATCCAGCACTTGCAGGAAGTACCAGGTACACTGCACACACAGTGTTACACAGCACAGGGAAATAGCTCTCCACTGGCTAGAGCTTAAGGCAGTCCTTTAAAAACCAGTTAATACAGCTTGCTCAATCTCTCATCCTTAGAGGAATTCAGACTGCTATTACCATCAACAGTGGCCTATTCCTGACTGATACTTACTGGCAGTACACCTAGCTGTAAGGTAGTGCCACAGCTGTGCTGACTTTTTTGTTACTTTTTGGAACTATTTTGGTGCCATATGTGCCAAATCTTCTGTATCACATGAACATACATATATTCAAGCAGCATTTACACATCTCTGTTGTGTGAGCTGGTTTGCTTCTGCCAATCTCATTTTACTACTAAGCAAAATATGTATGTAAAATATTCTTAAGAATATGAGTCGCTGGGCTAAAAATGTGCATTCACAGAGAAAGTCATTAGTTTTCTGCCTGTTTGACTTCTTGGTCTGGCTCACTACAGGACCCCATAAAGACCACAACCAGGAAAGGTAAGTGCAAAGTCAATGTTAGGCAGCAAAGTGGAAAATAAAAATCTGTAGCAAAATGCACTGAGTTTAAGAAATGTTATGGACATTTTCACTACAACTGGACAATGTCATGAGTAATCTGTGACAGCCCTGGTTTGAGAAAGAAGCTGGACTGGATGAGAGTCTAAAAACTTTCCAAAAATTAATTATTCAATGAGAGTGAATATAAAAATACGAATCTACAAAACCACTCATGGTGGTTAAATAAAAAATGCTATTTCATGACCCTTTTGCTACCAGGAGCATCAGATCAGGTACCTATCAAAAATTCATTTTACATGGTCCTTGTGTTTCTGCAACAACCATTTTTCCTAGAACATCCAGGAAGATAAGGCTTGGACAACTACTATTACAGAATTTTTTATTGCAAGGGTTTTAGAAAAAGTGTAAAATTCTAATCCCTGTAGCTGAACTCTTTTCCCTTTAAAATAACCATCCTCCCTTCCTGCCATTTTGGGTTTGGATTTTTTTTGTCTGGATCCTAATTAAGCACGAGACCAAAAAATGGAAACCTTCACTATATTCCATCAAGACTATGCTTTGCTCCTTAAAAATACATTACATTTAATGTCAGAAGAGTTACCAGTAAAAGTTTTCTAATAAAAGCAAACTTCACACTTTATAACATAAAGTGTTTTGGGGTTTTTTTAATTCTTCCTTCCTCACCCAGTACTTCCAAAGAAAGCTAAAGATTAAGAACTGTTGTTTGCCATGGCCTTAAAGTAATATACTTGAACTCTCAAATCTGAATCACCTGTTTAACTACACTGCCATGAGATTATCCTGACAGCTTTGATACAATGAAGCTATTTATCTTACTATAGGCAAACAAATCAAGTATGTTCTGCCAGTTTCAAAACACTTTATACAACTCACTGCAATCACCAGTTTGTATTTAGTCTCTTCCTACTGACACTAAGTATGCATTCAGAATATATCAGTCAATTCCATCAATAAAATACAATTTCTTTCAAGCCCCAAGCAGCAGAATACATACCCCCTTAAAATCTGAAGTGTCATAGTTCATGTCTTATCTCAATTTCTGTCTTATTATTTTAAAATCTTTAAAAATTACAAGCAGTCAACTAGCTTATTACCAAAACATTCTCCATTTGCAACATAATCCACAAGTTCTCACTTTTTTTTCTGTAATTTTAACTCTGCAAACATAGAAAAGTATCCTAGCAATTACAAGGGGAAGACTGAAACAAAAATTTAGCTATTTGAATTTCTCTATTTCTTACTTGAAATTATTTTTTACTTGCAAATTCCATTTGCCAACTTGTCAAGGCTTCTTCTCTGTACTGCCTGTTCTGAATAAAAGACTGAAGCAAAAGAATGTTGACAAAAAAAATTTACAATTACTTTTGCACAAATATTGCTGAAGCTGGAGGAGGAGGAGAAAAGAGAGCAATTTCCCTGCAGAGTCAAGCTGTTAAGTACCCATAATCACTCAAAAAATCTTTGTCACAATGTGACAAACCCTATGTTTCTAACATACTGTGCACCATTTTTTTCCTCCTCTGACAGAACCACAGCAGGTAGTAATTGTGCTATTCAAATGTCAGCCTACACACAGTATTGTTCACAAAGCTTGGTTATGAATATTAAAAAGTATGAAAATGAGTAGATTGTCATATTACACATCTATATTTAGATGATTATGATGTTCTTCATAATCCTCAAATCATTTCAGAAACTGTACACAGAACTGAGAAAAGAGAAGACTCTTCCAAAGTCCTCTTCTAGTGACTGCTACTGCTAAAGCACACACTGTTCTCTGAGCAAAGCAGCTTCCCCTAGAACAACTGGAAAATGCAAACAGGCATTATCTGGAACCAGAGCATCTGACTTGATACAAGAAGAAAATCAACAACTGACCTTTCTCAAAAGCAATCTCTTTCAGGACATTCCAGCAAAAAAACCAGCTTCACTAAAGGGCTGGGGCAATAGAATGAAAGGACCTAAAAACAGTATCTGGAAAAGAAGGCAACAGAAGCAAGGAAGGGAGGAAGAAATGGGAGCAGCACCAGATACGCTCTGTAGCTCCTATTGAAGCAGATAATATAATTGTCTTTTAGACTCTTAGGACACAGCCTTATCATAAAGCAGAAAAGCAGACAGAGCTCAGCACCATGGCAACATTCACTTGCTTAATTACCAGCCTAGAAGGCTTCCAACAAGATCACTGGAAACATGTTTCACAGAAATAGTTTGCTTTTCCATAGTAATGCAGAAAAACAGGAAGGTAACAGCAATAGGACAGACCCACAAAGAAAGCCAATGCTTTCATTCAGCATCAAGGAGTTTGTACAGATGCACATTGGTTTTGTATAAACAAATTCTCATGGTAAAATCATCACCAATAAGGAAGTTAAATAACAAAACACACCTTTCAGTCGATGACTTAGAATCTGTTCCAGAATGGCTGCAAAATTATTAAATTCAGGGGAAGTATCATCGATAGTTTCAAAACAGGAACGGTCAATCAGAGTCTTGACTGAAAACCTAGAGCAAAAAATATGGGACAATCAGAAATCATATGAATAATTACTGGTCCTCTATAGCAAGGCAGTAGCTTATATAAACAAAAAAAAGCAAGGAACCAGAACCTACCTTGATGATATCAAGTTCAGTCACAGCAACAGAAACATACAAAATGTTCAGATACAGTGTGGAAGTGCAATTGGCACTGTTGGTCTTAGGCATAAAGCCTTAAAAACAGAAAGAAAACAAAAATCCTCACCCTTTCCACACAGAAATTAGTAAATTATTTTTCTCTTCTCTAAACTATTTTAAACTATATCTAAACTATATCTTCTAACTATTTTGCAGTTGGAGAAAAACAAGCACTCAAAAGCATCCAACATCAGTTTCTCTTTGTAACCATAAACATTTTTTGCTTGACATTTTGTCAGTGCTCCTTTTATTCCCAAAATCCATGTCCAATAATCAGAAATACAAACTTTATCTTATTATGAGAACACTCTAAGTTCATCCTAATGCAAAAATAATCTAGACATATTATAAACCAATGAATTTTTATGCATTGTTAACTCTGCATTCACTTTCGCTGATTTCCCTGTGAATGGGGGTAATCCTTATTCAATACTATATTACTTCATTATTATGCTAGAAAAGCTTTCAATTTCAATGATCCAACACATAAAATTGGAAAGGCTGAATTAAGTCACTGTAAAATGCAGACAAGATGTAATTAGTCAACTGGCCAGCCTGCTGTGTTTAGTTACTCCTACATTTATACAAACTTTTATTCTTATTCAGAGGATAGTTCAAGCCTCAACATACATGACAAAAAATTAATTTTCTTTTGCTTTCATAATTTTTATCATTATCCATTTTTATATTCCTTTCTTCAGCTTCTTCTTCCAGTTTTCAGTTTCAAGACAAATTTCTCCAACCTAAAAGTATTAAATCTGAAGCACTTACTATGTTTTTTTGCAACAATCTTATTTTTATTAATAGAGTCATACTGCAGCCTGAGGAGATAGTTTTCACAACACCCAAATGTCAACAGTACCAACTCAGGAGGTTCTCACTCTTCCTGCTCCTCCCAGATCCTGCACCTGAGCGAGCGCTGGCTTCCTCAGTTTTTCCAGTTCTACTTTTTATGGTGCTCAATAAGAACTGTTCTAGATTTTCAGTACTGGAAAGGAGGGGAGAAGTGACTTAAATATGGATGCATTCATAAAAAATATCCTTCACAGCATCTCAACACAAGCACTTGTATGGCACATCTGCAGAAGCAGCACAGCATTAGAGGCATGGGCAGGAATGAAGCTCCTTACACCAGTACTATTTTGAAATGCTCTGTACTACAGAAGTAACTGCCTCCTTAGTGGAGTCAGCACAGTCTTCTGATGCACAAAACTAATGTGCTCAAACTGAATTGGCACATAGCTCAAGAGTTTCCACTCAATTATGTTTTACTTAGTAAACTTCTGAATAAAGACTCCTTATTTTACCTTTCCTGCAGGCATCTATTGTTGTAATGTTTTTTGCAGAACAGGAATTAGGAGTGAATTAGGGTGGAGGAGGAAGCTTCTCCTGCGGTGCCAAATTATGACTCAGTTTTGAACTCCTTCATATTTTTAACCAATTTTGAGTAAGTGAGAGACATGCATGCCCACAGTTAACTGCTATTGACTCTTCTAATGGCAGAACTTGTTGCTTCCTCAAAGCTACATTAGAGCTGAGAAATTTTTGATTAAAAAAAAGCCTTTATTTCAAAAAACAAATGCCTATAGCAATGCCATGACTAAGCTAATATTAACTGTAACAAGATGAGTCCTCCCACACCATGCAGGTCTGAAAAAGATACAGTGCAGCACATCACTCACAGATCCATACACAAGATAGAGAGTGAGTTAGCAGTGTGATGTACTGCCCTGTACACAGGAATAGCATCATAAAACTCAGGTATGATCATCCATAAACTGCAAAATCAAGTAGAGTATAATATAAAGCTAGGCCTATTTTTCCTGTATTCAATGTCATACTTGAAAGTTTGCTTATTAATATTGTATAGAATACCTATTCAGAAATGGAGATATATTCAAGAGGAAACACTTAAGAGCAATTTCACAAACACTTTAAAAATCAGAGATAAGCTTTACTTTCTTTTTATTTTTAAAGCATTCTGCAACACAACTGAAGAAAAAAAATCTAGTATTTAAGGAAAAAAAATTATATACCTAGAGTCTGATTATAAAATACAGTCTAAGAGCTCATCATAAAAATAGTATTCTTTTTAAGTGCTCATATTACTGCCATAACATCAGAAATGTTAACTTTCGTCCATCTACTCTACCCTTTCACCAAAAACCTAAATCTTTATAGCCAAGTTGGGTTAGATTTGCTTTTAGGAGAACGTACAGGGAGTGCAAGTATGTACTTACTTTTATAAATCAGGAAGATAACACCAAAGCAGAAGATACCAAGCAAAATTTGATTCACTAGAAATATTTTTTTGATATTTAAAAAAAACACTCATAGGCAAATACTTGTGCGTTATCTTTTTTTCTCTAAATACTACAGAGGCAAACATCTATTTAAGTGCAAATTAAAAGTAAAAGTCATGAGCGTGTTTTGCATATTAGATATTCACACTTCACCATGTTTACCATGTATATTGGAAAAAGGATTAAGGGTATATAGAAGTTATGCCTTTGAAAAAAGGTTACACTGTAAGCACTAAGTAAGCAATTCTCCTCAGTCATTGAAGTTGTTTCCAGTGTATGGGGCTCCAGACCAGGAATTCCCCACTCTTGCACAGTTATGTGGAGCCACATGAAGACTGAAAGTCAAGAAACAAAAGGTCAGGGCTAAAGGACACAAGAGCTATGAAGAAAAAAGGTCCAAATACTTAGAGGTGTTTCCTTGGTTCCCGGTATTGCTCCCATCTTCACAGAATCTCTAAGGTTGGAAAAGACCTTTATGATCAGAGTCCAACCATTAGCAGCACCAAGTCCACTGCTAAACCATGTCCCCAAGTGCCACTCACACACTTTTTGGGAACGCTTCCGGGAATGGTGATCCTACCACCTCCCTGGGATTCTGTTCCAATGGCTGACCACCCCTTCTGTGAAGAAATTTCATTGAATACCCCATCTAAACCTCCCTGCTGCAACTTGAGGGTTTTTCCTCTTGTCCTGTCACTTGGTACCTGGGAAAAGAGCCCAAGCACCACCTCACTCCATCTTTTCTGCACTGGGCTGCCACAGCAGCACTGCACTCCAGAGCAGCAGTCTGCTTACACATCAGAGATTAACTTCCAAGTGGACTGTAAGAGCAGATGAGTAATGTAGCTTCTTGCTATAACACCTACTGCTTCAAGACTTTTTATAAAAAAGTATTTTATCCAGCATTTCCATTGTGTTACTGCAACAACTTTTACTCCCCGACTTTTGTTATTTGGTTGGGATTTTTTTCAATACAGTAACTGCCATTGGAGAGATTCCAGTATCAATATTTCTAAATGACCTTCACGAACTCTAACATTTTTGGATTATTACACATTTTCCTCTGTCACAAATCTACTCTTGCTTGAGACAAAAAGAAGGTGCAGAAATAGTCGCATTCTCCAACCTTAAAAAGACCTTATGAATTATGTAAGATGGAGACATTCCTGAATATGAAAGACTTAAACCAATCTTTCTAGGGTAGTTTGTTTCACTGCTTTGCAAGATGCTCAAGAAGTCTCCCAAGTTTCTTGAATAACTCCAAACCAAAGCCTAACATTTTGTGGATACATCCCACACCTATAGGCTTATTTCCAAAACCGCAGATTTTGTCATGGTTATTTAGCTTGCAATTTGGGAAGTGTCATTAAAATACTATTTTAAAGAATTCAAACTATTACTATAGAATAAACCCTAAGATTATGAAACAATATGTCTTATGCTAAACAAGGCAATCATGAAACCAGACAGTTCAGCTAAGGGTCAATGTCACAGCAACAGGTCTTACATGTATTAGCAAAATCACTGTTTTAAATCACTGTTTAAAAGCATATTTCCTAAAAGTTGTTCAATTCTGTGTTACCATTCTGAGTTTAAGCTATGAATGTCATTTCCGAGGTGCATCTCAGTTGTTCTGTATCTATGTTGATCTATGAATCTTATCTAAGACTAGATTAAAACAAGTTGAACAACCTATAACTAGTAAAAAATCTCAGAGCCACTTACTGGAACATGAAAGGGATCAAACTCAAAGGAAAACAGGTAAGGAGAGAGACAAAGCTTAGAACATGCATTACTCAAAAAAAGTCCTGAGAATTATTCCAATTTAAATCATGGCTGTGCAGTTACAAAAACACAGCCATGCATTTTCACACGCAGTTGGTTTACGGAACTTAAGTAATTATGTCACTTTCCAGGCTACTCAACCCTTCAGTAGAAATAATACAGTTCCTTCCAAAACTGTAAATATAAGAAACTATACACATCCGCAGGAGGAGTTAGATATTGCAGTTGGTTTACGGAACTTAAGTAACTATGTCACTTTCCATGGCTACTCAACATTTCAGTAGAAATAAAACTGTTCCTTCCGAAACTGTAAATATAAGAAACTATACACATCTGCACGAGGAGTTAGATATCATCACTGTAAGAAAAGATTAAAACCTTAGTCTGGTATAGCTATTAAGTAAAAATATGCTAAAGCTTGAAGCTTTTACAAATATAATTCATTAAATTATCAAAGACTGTTAACAGATGGTAACTCAGAAGAGTATCTTCCTTGTGATCTTTCCCCTTCACTGGGGAACAGTCCATACCATCCAAATTTGATTGAATCAATTGACTGGAGCTATTTTTTTACCAGAAAAATTTCTTATTTTCATAGAATTCTGATTGGAAAGGACTATTATTTTACACTTTTCAATACTAACTTGGCTATTCCTAACAAGTAACACTTTTCTATAATAGAAAATGTGTAATAACTACAGTAAAGCACAGAGATATTTTAAACACTCTTACACTGGCAAAATAAAAATATAAATAAATGTATATACATCATAATAATGCAAATCCTTACTCCTTAACATTCTTTCCACATTTTCATCTGTATTCACAAACTGATAACTTCAGGTTTTATGAAGAAAAGCAAAATTAAGTCACTTTGCTGAAAATCATAAAAATACACCATTCTCAAGCAGTTTCTGCAGTATCTCTTTGTTTTATATGTGTTTAAGTGAATTCCCTCAAATTTCTAAGCATTTTAAAATATATTACACCATCACTTCAACTTCAGGACAAGGACATCAAATAAACCAAAAGAACCAATGTAACAGCACAGAATACAGAAGAGTTCTTCTCGAGTGGGAGGCAGAAAAAAACCCCTAAGTTCTGTAGAATACAATATATTCCTTTAAAAAGAACTGTTTATATCCTGTACAATTGTGTGATTGCTTGATAAAACTGATGTTTTCCTGAGCACGCAGATTAGCAGTATCTGCATCTCTCTAACAACAGCGAAACTGACAACTTCTATTTCTATTATTTAAGCTACTACAGCAGGTTTGATAAAAATTTTTGTTTAAATTTTTTTTTTGTTGTGTACCTTTTTCACAGGTAGGAGCAGAGATAAGCATAGAAGCCCAGGAAAAGACAGAATAGTACTGATGCTACTCAAACACAGATACTATGATTTGAAGGAATACTGAAGCAAATTCATGACATGAATGATAGAGTCACACTTTGTAAAACCTGCTAACAGTATACCATAAAAGAAAAAAAAAAGTATGGAAAATATAAGGTTGTATTGGTTTTTAAAAATCCTACTACAGCATTAAGTGATGATGGTACAAAATTATCTAATAGTTGTCCTGTCACTTTAGTAAGACTTGTGAGAATTAAATTATGTCACAACCTTAATGAATCTGTTGAAAACCTTTCCCAAATAATATTCAAATTACTTTAATAACTTCAAAACTGAGCAATTGAAACAAATGCCCGAACGGAGCCATTGCCACCAGCACATCCACGTATTTAAAAGTTTGGCATGACGTTACACGTCACTGCTGCACACCTGGAAATGCTGCATGAATTCCACAGTGACAGCAGTGCAAACGCTTAAATGGAACGTCATAGAACTGCTACTAAGCTTGCATAAGCTCAGCACTAAGATGCTTAAAAAAAAAAAAAAGAAAAGAAAAGAAAAAATAGAAGGAAAGAAATTTGAATACAGTAGCTCTAGTACTGCAGGTTTCCTGATCTAGATTTCGTAGATAAAAATATCCCGGAGCGCAGCCTCTTCGGGATGGTCCTGCGGCACCGGCGCGCTCGCAGCGGCCTGAGCCTCTTCCCCGCGTACATCCCGTACATTAACTCTAAACCTCATCACACCAACTCCGAGCCCGGCCGCGTCAATTGAAGGGCAGCTACAGCAGCTGTGCCCGCACGAGTCCAGCGCTGCCTTTCGCCCGAGAACGCAAGCGTGGTGCCGGAACAAGCCGGTCAGTCCCCGCTTCAGAAGGGGCCATTGACGCCCCGCAGCAGCGGCACTGCCCGATCAACCCCTGCCCCCGGACACCCTCCCGCGAACGCTCCCAGGAGCTGAGTCAGGATGGATGGAGGAGGCTGCTCTACCCCCGCGGGGGCCGGCATCGGCCTCCCTGCCCCGGACAGGGCTGCGCCGGGGCTGTGCCCGCGGTCCTGCCCCCGACCCACCTGTGCGGAGCGGGGCAGGGACGGGCCCCGCGGGCTGCGGCGGGAGCGAGGGGGAACGGGCCCCTCGGGCGGGGCAGGGCCCGGCCCGGGGCTCACCTGCACACCGTGATCAAGTTCCGCCTCTCCACCGCGGCGTTGCGGGACGGGACGCTCTTCCTCCGGGCGGAGACGTTGAGCCCCCCTAAGCCGAGGGACGCCATCTCCGCTGGGCAGGGCAGGTGGAGCCGCCGGTGCTGGCGCGGAGCCTTTGTTCCCGGCCTCCCGCTCTCCAGGATGCTGCGCCTGCCGCCGCCGCACGCGGACGAGAAGGAAGCGGATGAGGAGGCCCCCGTGCTTTCCCCGCTGCTCCTCCCGCTGCCCGGTCCCGGCGCGCCCGAGGCAGCGGCGGCTCGGGCGGGGACGCGCGGGGTCCCCCGGCGGGGGCGGCTCGCGAGGGAGCTCTGCGGCTCTCCCAGCATCTGTGAAATTGTGGTCTTCCTTCAGTTGTTGTCAGTTCTCACCCTTCTTAGCCCGCTGGCGTCTAGAATGCGAGAACTTCCCTGGCTGTAGTTTTTAGAGTTTGAAATGCTGTCAGTCGTTAATTAGGATCATAGAATCACAAGGTTGGAAAAAACCTCCGAGGTCGTGGAGTCCGACCTTTGACTGAACACCACCGTGTCAACTAGATGCCACTAAGTGCCACATCGGTTCTTGGACTCCTCCAGGACGTGACTCCATCACCTCCCTGGGCAGTCTGTTACAGTGCTGGACAGTGCTTTATGAAATAGACCAGCTTTACGGGCCGTGCTTGTGGGAATACGGGAATGAAGTGGGAATACACTTTGCCACCAAACTACAGCTGGCCCAGCTCTGATCTAAGGCGTGCTCGGAAGAGCTCTGGCTACAGAGCTTTGCCTTGGCATCAAGACGCAGAATTGCGTGAAGTTCATGTCTCTGGAAGACGAGAAGACAAAGCACTGCAGAAAAAAGCCCAGCAGCAAACTAATTGTGGTTTGTGGCTGTGAAGGAGTAGATTTGGCTGGTTACTTGGGGTGGTGTGGAATGGCATGGATTAATTTGATTTGCTTCCTTTATGGGAGAAAGTTCCCTTTCAGCCTAAGAAAATAATTTTGTTTGATTTACAAACTTTATTTGTTTGCAATGAGGGTGAATGGTGAAATAAATTTTGGCACAACTCTTCCTTCTACCGAGTTACATACATAATACTCGTAAATACATCTGTTAAATTCCAACCTACCCATTTCTATAAATGAAACATAAAATTTTCTTTTACTGACATCCTCATTGAATTTTAGTTTCTTTGGATAATATCCCTTGTAGATATGAAGCTATTTCTGACAGTTCCTGTCAAACTAGTAGTGTGTCCAGCACACTTGTGTTACATGAAGGAGAATTATGTTGACATAAAAGTTTGAAAAGTAGATTCCCATATAGATGCCTATTTTTTTTCAAATGTAGTAGCATATAAACTTTTTTCATCAGAAGATATCTCATAAATTGATTCAAGTATTACTGCTTACCAAAACTTCCAAGGTCATAATATATTACCTGATATGCTATGTTCTCACCTCACTCAACATGTAACTGAGTATATAACATATCCTATGTTCTCACCTCACTCAACATGTAACTGAGTAAACTTGACCTAATCTTTATCTTCATTGAACTTGATAGGTAATGGTAAGTAAGCTGTCTGCCTTCTCTAAAGCAAAGCTTCTTCCTTGCTTGAGTGTTTTTTTCCCCAAGCATATTACCATTCAAATTCATTGCAAGGTAGTTCATAATTTTGTTTCTGCCTCTCTTCCACTCTGCTCCAGAAACATAATAAAAAAGTAGAGGCATAGGTAAATCTGAAGGAGGGTATCCTTTCTACATTATTTCTACAAATAATACTTTTTTTGTTAATTTTAAATGGCTCTACTAGTAAAAGATTGAAGCAAGCTGTTGTTCTTTACTTTTTCTTTCAAGCTCTCAAGGGGAAATGCTGCTTGTGTTAATTGTTGCTTCTCAGAAATTAAAAGCCTGTATTCTGGTTTCTTTCTTCTTCTCAGACTTTTTAAAGGCCCATTGTTTCTGTAGCTTCTGTTAAGAGATTTATGCAGATTGAGTAAACTTTCAATTCAATTCAAGCTAAGTCTGAAGTAAGTTTAGTCTCTGCAGATGAGCAATTTCAGCTGCCAGGTTTGTTGTTCTTGAACTAATGCTAAACATACATACTGGATAGTTACTAATATTTAACCAAAAAAAAACAAAAACAAAACAGGAGAACTTTTCTACATATATCAAAACCAGAAGTATCTTCTCTCTTTACCTTTTCCCCAGAAACTACAAGTTTTTATTTTTATACTTGAAATAGATTTAAGATTAAATCAGACTTATCTGGTGGACCAAGTCTTAGGTTCTAATATTAATAAGTTTTAGTCCTCAAGTAAATGGACTTCCTTAAAAATTGTTGCTTTCTTTCAAATATAGTTTGTCTTCAGCTACTGTCTTATCAAAGTATAAAATATAAAAAGGTTCTAGAAGACTTCAAAAGAATAAAAAATAATAATTTGAATATCATCAGCTGCTTTGGAAAGATCAATAAATTTATCAGGAAATGTGTAAGTCTGTGGTAAGTCTTGAACTTTTAAAGCCTCTCTGTAAGAAAAATAGACTAAGGGAAAATCTTACTGCCTTCAATTAGCCAGTGGGAGGTTCGAGGAAGAGATTTTCTGAGGAGTGCAGAGCAAACAGACAAGGGGAAATTGCCAGAAGCTGCAACAAATGACAGATATTGGGAAAAATTCCTGATGCAAAGATGTTTAAGCACTGGGGATGTGCAAGAAGATGTTAGGAGGCACATCCAGGACAACGGATTCCAACAGATAAAAGAAACCATACCATATGGCATTGTGTCCAGTGGTAAAAACTCAGGGAGAGAAAGAAGAAGCAGGGACATTTGAGTTACACCATTTGTCTTCCCAAGTAACTGTTCCCTGTTTTCCTGGAAACAGCTAAAGATTTTCCTGTTGATGGGAAGCAGTACATGTATTCCTTATTTTGCTTTGCTTGCATATACTGCTTTGCTTCACTTATTAAACTGTCTTTAACTCATCGCACGAGTTTTTCTCCTTTTCCAGTACAGTTCTGTCTCTCCCATCCCACTGAGCAGAAGTGAATAAGTGGCTTTGTGGGCCTTAGCTGCTGACCAGGATCAATCCACAAGTTGGCACTGCATTGTCATTTACAGTAGGAGAAAATTATCCCAAACTATCACATAGGACTCCCTCAGGAGCAAAACACGAATTGATATGAGATGTGATATATTTTACTATTGCACTTTAGGGTAATTTTGAGTGTACTGATAGTACAGAACACATCTCATGGATTCTAGTCAGCTGCCTGGCTTTGCATATGAACCATAACTAAACCACAAGATGTTTCACCTCAACTTTCTCTATGTTGAGGGCAGCAGAGCACTGCCACAGGCTGCCCAGGGAGGTCAAGGAGTGTCCCTCTCCAGAGACATTCAAAACTCACCTGGACATGTTCCAGTGTCTCTTGCTCCAGGTGACCCTCTCCTGGCAGGAGTCTGGACAAGATGATCTCCAGAGGCCCTTTCCAACCTGAGCAATTCTGTGATTCTGTATATATAGGAGGCATACACGCTTGCTCTTTTTAGTGTCATGGTTTGAAATTGTTTGGGCTTATTTTTTGCTTTGCTGGGCTTTTTGTTTTGTTTTGTTTTGTTTTGTTGGCAGCATATCTGGGTATCTACGAATATCTGATTTACCAACATCTTTGTACTGAAACATGATAGATATAATTTGAAGTTGTAGTTGCACTTTTCCAAATTGCTTTATCCTACAAGAATTCTCAGAATGGGTTAATTTTTCAGATTATTTGTAGATCTTGCACCTTTGAATTATTCCTTATCTTTATGTCTTAGAAAATCTGTACCTTTAAAAGACAGGTTTGAGGGCATGTTAGAACATGGAATTCCACCCACCTTCTTTTTTTGGCATACTGCTCATACTTAGTTCTGTAGAAGGAGTGAAAGGAATGGAGGAAAGCAGAGTACCATATGTCTTTTAGAGCATATTTGGGTGGCAGTCATGAACAGAAGGAGAATAAGAGCAAACCTGAATTTTACAAAATTATATCATCATAGTAGAGATGGCCAAGGAAAAGTAATATGAAACACTGAAATATGAAGTATGTTTGTGATTTAAGATTGGAAGACGTAAATTTCAATCTGAGTTTTAAAACTTGTTGCAAGTTGGTTTAAAGTTGCTTGCCTGAAATGAGTAAGACAGCAATATTTCAAGACATCATGACTTAAACACTGTAGCTTTTAACAGTTATGCTTGGGAGATTACTTGTGAGATATTGCTTTATGCCATGGCACATAAAATTTGATCTGTGTTCATATCTCTTGATTATTCTTTTTACATATTCTAAAGTTACGTTATTCAAAGTTATTACACTTTTCCTTTGTGACTTAAAATATTTACATTGCCACTTGGTGGCCTCATTTGATCAGTAATAGAAGATAAAAAAATGTAAGATCTCTTTTCTTCACAGGTATGCAATTCAAACCTTGACATGATTTTCCTACACATCCAAGAGCAATATATCCCTTTATGCAATGAATATATGGATGCTGTGGTGATTGCTGTTGTAGTTGTCAAGGGTCTGAATCACTGTTGTAGGGGTGGTCAGATGTAAGAGCTCTTCAGTAAGAGTAGTACTTAAGTGAATGATTTTTCTCCCCATTCTTCCTCTCCCATCCTTGAAGTTTTAATCTTCAACACCCCTTCTCAATCAAAACAAGCAGAGGATTGTGTCTGCTACCAATAATTTTGACTTTGCCAGGCTTCTTTCCTGCTTGTTCTGCATCCTTAGTTCTTATTTTTCAGATTTTATTACTTGAAAATGTTTTTCTGTATCACTTTTGTGAAACTATACCGTAACTCTCTGTCCCTCTATGGTTCCATATTATTTGTATTATTAGCTATGTCACAAAATGCTAGTTTGTTGTTACTGGGTTTGCTGGTTTAGTGTACTTCTGTCTGAGTTCAAGGCAAGCAAATATTTATTGTGTCATGCTTAGGACACTTACTCATTAAAATCTTCTGCCTTGGCAAGATTCCTGCCAATTCCCCATGCCTTGCAAGCTCAGGCAGAGTGGGCTGGATGAGTGGATGGTGAGGTGGATTGAGAACTGGCTGAATGGCAGGTCTGAGAGGGTTTTGAACAGTGGCACAGGGTCTAGCTGGTCTAGTGATGTCCCCCAAGGTTCAATACTGGAATTGTTTAACTTGCTCATCAGTTACTTGGATGAAAGGCCAGATGCCTGCTCAGCAAGTTCACTGATGACTCAAAGCTGAGAGGAGCGGCCGATGGCCTGGAGTTCTGTGCAGCCCTTCAGAGGGACCTTGA